ATGGCGCCTGCCCTTGGGGAGCTGGCCGTCTGGTGGCCGTGAGGCTCCCTGGGCTTGTGTCCGCACAGCTTGCTCCGGATCACAACCGCTGATGAGTGAGTCGCGGAGTCAGAACTTGCATCCAAACCTCCTGATACCAGATTGGGTTTGTCTCTCCAGGACTCCAGAGGCAGGGCTGTCGTCTGGTCTTTATAATAGAGACATTTTTACTTCTCAGCTTCAGCAAGCGCCAGAAATTTCTCAGCAAGAAGCTGCCACCCCATGTAAGGCCCCTGGGTCTGTGGCAGCCAAGCCCATGGCGGAGGGAGATGGACCGGGGAAGGCACAGGGGGGAGGTGTGCGAGCCCAGTGTCACCGCAGCAGGATGAGTGCAGCCGTCCCTCCCATAGAACGGGGGGCACCCGCCCGCCTCCACTCCCTGTCTCTGGGCCACGGCGTCCTCTCCAGGCCTTCCTTCCCCTCCCGGGGGCTGGGAGCTTTGCCCTGTTGTCGAGCTAGGAAACCACTTCTGCCCAGTCCCAGGCCTGCTGGCTCCGTGCCTCTGCCCAGAGCCTCCTGCCTGCCCTGCTCCGACCACAGTAACCCATCTCCTCACTAAAACCCAGTTCACAGCACTGATGGCTGCAAGCCTGGGGGGTGGGGGGTGGGGGCGGGAACCGGTGCTCAGGGCCCACCTGACCTGCGTTACCGCGGGTCACTAGGAGCCATCGCTCTGCACCCTTCGGCACCACAGCCTGTGCGGGAGGCCCGGGTCTTTGCTCACCTGCCCGCTCGGGCATGGACTGGAAGAGTGGCCTTGCATCCGCCTTGTCCCTGAGGGGCCGAGGGAACCAAATTGAGAACCGCCTGGCGCGACATTCACCACCCTGGCTGGACGCTGGACGCCTTTCCCAGGAACAACACAGCAGGGCGCGCTCCAGCCTGTGGCTTATCGGGCTGTCTACTTTCTTCTCTTTTCTCTCTGCTCCTCTCTCTCGTCTTCCCTTCCCTTCATCTCTCTCTCCCTTTCACCTCATCTTTCTTCTGTCTCCACTCCTCCTTTCTCACTCTCTCCTGTGTCCTTTTTTGTCCTCTTTTTGTTTTTGCTTTTGTGTCTCTGTCTCACATTCTTGGAAACAATCCTTTGCCAAAAAACATAGCGGGTTTGATTTCGAGCCCCTGTCTCCAAGCCGTCCGTCCACCCCTTTCTTCTCTGGTCCTGGGCACCCCCCAGGCCTCCCCCCTCCCCCGCAGGCTCCCGGCCCTCCCCCACACTCCTCCCTACTTAGGCCTCCGCTTTCTCCTGACAGATGGGAGGGAGGGAGCACGGCCTCTTTAAAACAACATTTAATCGCCGTTTTCTGTTCTTGGACATCAAAGCTGGGGCTTAGGCACTGCGCTGGGGTCGCGGCGGCGCAGGCTGTGGGGGAGAGGAGGTGCGTGAATAGGCCCCGGCTGAATGGGCTTTGTGTGGCTGCCAGGGCCTGCCTGCTTTACATGCTCTTTGACCCAGATATGATCTCATGGAGAGAAAGGGGCCCTGGCTGGGCCAGCCTGAGAATGCTCGGTGGCCCCGCTCCGTCCTCCCTCCCCCGGAGCCCTGGCCCAGCTGCCCTCTGCCCCAGCCCGCAGCCCTGGGCAGCCTCCTCCCCGACAGGACTTGCCAGAAGGGCACTCTACTGGGGTCAGAGGAGGGGTCAGGCAGCCGGGGGAGGGCCACATTCCTCCTGAGTGTGTCTCCAAGGATATTAAGTGGGAGCCCCCTGTGCACAATGTGCCTCTGGCCAGGGCCGATGGGGTTCAGGTGGGCCCAGGGGTCGCATCCTGTCAGCCTTAACAGCTCTCCTTCCAGCCGTTCCGAGGGGCTCCCCTCTGCCCAGAGCCGGGAGCCGGCAGCGGCTTGCTGAAGGCCTGAAGGCCTGAGCACGGTGTGGCAGCAGTCCCAGGCCTCGGCCTTCTCCATCAGCTCGACATTGCCAGGACCCCACCAGGAGGAGAGCGGCTGGGGAGCACTGGCCGCACCGCTCTGCCTGCCCCTGTCCCAGCCTCTCCTTCCTCTGGGCAGCCAGAGGGATCCTCCGAAAATGCACACAGCGCCGTGTCAGTCCTTGGGCTAAAGGCCCGGTGGCTCCGGGTAACTGAGGATGGAATCGGAACTCCTAACGAGGCCGGCAAGACCCTTGGTGGTAGGGCCCTGTGCTCGCCGCCCCGCCTTGTCTCAGAATCACCCGCATGTCCCTTGGCCGCCCCCTACTCTGGTCTGGACAACTGGACCACAGATGATTCTGAAGACACGGAGATCCGCCCCCCATGGGCCTTGCACATGCTGTGTCCTCTGGGGGGAACGCTGCGACGCACACACTCCCCTCCCTTCCGTCTGGCCGCCTCACGTGTCATTGCTCAGGTCGCAGCTCACACCTTTCTCTGGGGAAACCTTCATGCCAGAGCTGGGTGGTGCCTCCAGGCCGCACCCGCTGTTGTGCACGCATCACCTGCTTTCTCAGCTGTTGTCACTGCCTGACTGGCAGCTTCCTGCAGGCAAGAATTGTGCGTTGAACATCTCCCTGTGCTCAGAGCCTAATGCTGCCGGGTACGTGGTACACACCCAGTGACCCTTTGCTGAATAAACAAATGAAAGGAGGGGATGGAGAGGGAGGGAAGGAGAGAGGCAACACGCATCCGGGTGGAGGTTGCAGTTGCCAAGGATGGTGGAACCCGATACTCCGTGTACGTGCCGCGCCCGCCCAGGCCTGTGCATGCACGTCCCCGGCTGCAGGGCCACAGCGGAGGCTCTCCTGCTTCCCTCACATGTGTCATGTCGGTGCACAGAGACATCTGAACGGTGTTTGCCATGTGCAAAGGGCGGAGCAGCCAGCACAGGACACGGCGCGTTGCAGGCAGGGTGCTCCCTGGGCATCGCTGTGTGTGTGTGTGTGTGTGTGTGTGTGTGCGCGCGCGTGTGCATGAGCGCACACGTGCATGTCCACTGTTACATTCAGCATATGCTGTGGAGTGGCACTTATGTGCATGTATGTAAATACCTACTTTTACTATTATCTCTGTCCTTCTGCTCTATCTGTTTTGGGGGTTATCAGTATTGGCTGTTGAATCTTAAATACTAAAGCATGTCCTGGAAATTAAAATGTAAGCAAAATACAAAGACTATTAGACACCTGGTCCCCTGCCACGCTGGTCTCGGCCGTCTGGGCCCACCATCCCCACTCCCGGGCCTCGGCCCTCGGGGTGGCGGGAGGGCGGGCTCCTCTCTGTGTTTTCTGCTCTCCGGGGCGCCTCAGTGAAAGTGAACTCACTCATTTCAACCTGCCTGGCAGCCGCAGCCCCCGCTGTGCTAATTGCCCTGTGGTTCTAAGCTGACTGCAGTGCGCGAAGCTTAAGCCCTCCTTTACTTATTTACCGACTACATTAATGGCAAAGCCGCTGCTTTCCGCTGCTCCCGACTGTGTGCCGGCTGGCTGCACCCCGTTCCTCTGCACCTCCCCGGGGAGTTGGGGTGCAGAGATGCAGCCTGGCACAGAGCCCCCGAATCTGCCACCCTCCCAGAGTCCCTGGGGCCAGACAATAATGAGAAAATCATTGCCTTTGTCCACACGGACTCCAGACCAGCTCCTCTCTGCCAGCTCGCCCGCCAGCCCGCCCGCCAGGCTGATCCAGCGGAGCACACTCCGCAGCCGCCCTTCGGCGCCCACAGCGCCTGTGAGGGGTGCGCCCCAGACACCTCTTACAGACTGGGGGGCTGGGGCTGGGACTCCGGAGCTGTTGGTGCTGACGGTGAGGCTTGCAGCCGAGACTGAATTCCACCAGCTCTGTCTGTCCTCTCTGCACGCTGCCTGCCCAGGAGCTGTCTCCCCTCTCCTGGCCCCACCCACCCAGGTCTGCCCACTGCCTGCTAGTTGTACGTCCTCAGAGCTTCTACTCTGTGCCCGGAGGAGGTCCCGTGTTGAAGCAAAACCTCTATCTCCCAGCTTTGTCTGCCTTGCTGACATGCTTGCCAGAATTTGCTGGAAATTCAGGTACTGGAGCCTTTCCTTCATGCTCAGCAGCCTCTCCCAGGGCAGACCCAAGTCCAGCCTTAGCCACACCCCCACCTCCCTCTTCCTGGCGACAGGGTCCTGCCTATGCTCTCATTCCAGGGGGCATGCGTGCCCGCAACCAGGCACTGCCTGCTTCTCAGTGTCCTCCTGCCCCGTGGCAGAGCTGGGCCCTGCACTGAGGCCAAGGCAGCATTCTGGAGACCAGAGGGGCCCCATCAAGGGTGCCACGGATGGATCCATGGGGTCAAGCACCCAGGCTCCACTCTGAAATAGCATGAC